TTTGAGAACAACTGGTGTATGCACACACACACGCACACACACACACACACACACACACACCTTGGTGGGTAACTGTGGGCTGCTATTTTTTGGCTATTTTGTATTACTAAAGAGGAGGTGTTATCAGAGGTTTAAAAAACAAGAACTATAAATGTAAATAACTAATAAACTATAAATAAATCATGGTCTGTTTGTTCTCATATGTTACTTATAATGAATAAGGGAAATCATTAAGATATTTGGGCTGGAATTAAGTAGATATGATATAATTATGCTTTTAAAAAAAAATCAATTATGTGCCATCAAGTTGTTGCCGACTCTTAGTGGCCATATAGATAGATTTTCTCCATGACAATCTGTCTCTAACCTGGTCCTTCAGGTCTTCCAATGTTAATTATGCATTAAAATCTGTAATTGTGTTTCCTTATACATATGACTTTTTTATATATACATACTTAAGAATATGGAACTCTACATTTGCAGAAAACTGAAAATAAACCCCAGATCTTTCCAGTACAGTTACTTCTCTTTACAATGGATCAAAGAAAACTAAGAACGGACCTGAGACTTTCTTTTTTAGTGGAATTAAAAATTGGAATCAAGTATCTAGGGGGAAGACCTTCACTATAGGTTCACAATCAAGATTCGGAAATATATTAACATTGCAAAATATTAGAAAAATTGCAGTCTAATGGAAACAATATCTAGCTATCTGTGTTTTTAATTTAAATTAATAATATGAGCGATAGGGCATATCTTGGTTGAGTGTTTTATTCAATTTCTACCTAACCGTTCACCACTGCCATTCTTCCAACCTTTGTATATGTGATGGAATGTGAAGGTGACCTTGGAAGATGGGGTGGAGGGGGGAAGTGATGCTGCCGAGGGAACAGTCAGATAAAACGGGGAGCTGCCTGCAACAGAGTAACGGCCAGAGAAGGAAACTTAGGAGGGACCTGCCCTAACTACTCAGGCAGAGGTAAATAGGAAGGGTGGGAGATTTGTACTTTCAGACTTGCAAGATTGATGTCAGCCCTCCCAAGTAGACCGGATAGGAAACATGACTAGATGAGCTAATTCTACTTTATTGTAAGGCTACATTAGCAGAATCTTGCAAGTCTGAAAGTACAATTCTCTAGCCCTCCCTATTTACCGCCTGAGTAGTTAGGGCGGGTCCTTCCTCAGTTTCTTTCTCTGGCCGTTACTCTATTGCAGACACTTTTTTCTTTTAGCTGATGTTCTCTAGGCAGCATCTCTCCCCCACCCACCATCTTCCAAGGTCACCCTCACATTCCACCACAGTATACTCCCTCCTTCATAACTTGTTCTTCTCTTTTTGCCCAAACTAAGATCCTCCACCATCATTATTCCACTTTGCTTGAGATTTGCAATGTTTGGTTTTTTGTATCCTGTGTGTTTCTCAGATAGTATCTCAGATAGTATCTGGACAGTATCTCTGTCCCCACTAGTATTTTTAAAACAGCTTCCCTTACATTAAGCACAATAAATCATTGCAGAGTTTGAATATTATTTATGCGTTCCCTTCAAGGGGCAAAAATATCATCCACTGTATTTCCTTAGCTGAACAATTTTGGGCTGGCAAGGATTCGGTATCCAGATATGCCAGGCCATTTAATGTACACTCTTACTGCTCATTAAATGTTGGCAGCAATTCCTATTATGATGTGCAAAATGCCGAGGCCTATTCATCAAGAAGGAAGTCGCAAGCTCACCTTCCTCTTGACACTTACTAATCTTAAGGAGTAGTTTTCCCTGGCAGAATTGCAGTTGCTTCTGTAGCCATTGCTATACCCAATAAAGCAAAGGAAAAGTAAAACCAAGGTTTCCGTCGAATCAGGCTCTCCTCCTGGTGACCGTATGGCAACGTCCATGTAATTTTCTTGGCAGCAACGTGGAAGGGTTGGTTGTCTTTTCTGGGATTATTTTAAGTTTCCCAGTCTATCCTATAATCCTGGAATATTCTGATGGTTTCCCATCCAAGCACAAGGCAGGTCTGAAACTGCTTAACTTTCTGATGTAAGCCTAGATGGGCTCCTTGGTAATAGAAGAGGAGGTGAAAAAGATACGTAGACCATTTCCAAACTAGTCATTGGTGGCATCTTATAGCATCACTCAGCCATTGCTATGGGAATTAAACAAACAAACCTGTTTTATTGTTGATATATTGCTACAGCAATGGCTGGATGACTCTATAGGACACAGTAAGTTACTATGTGGAATTGTCTTTGGACATTTGCTTGAAACTATGAGGAGAATAATCATCAGTCCATCACAATGGCAATAAAGGTTGTAGCCTGTTGCGTCTGTCCTCCAAAGACAATCCCACTGGGTTTAATTACTGGAGTTGGCTCCCAAGTAAGTGTGCATAGGATTACAACCTTGTGAACTTATACAACCAGCCACACAACGTATAAATAACTTGTGCTGTCATCCGGTTGTTCAGTGACTGCAGAATGAGTGATGCTTCTAAAGGAGCCTTAACACTAACACAAAAGACCGGGTGATGTTTCACTGTCATCTTCTCAGCAATTTATCTTACTCCTTCAGCAAGTACGAACTTTGGCACCTATGATTCATCCATCTGTTCAAATATGCCAGGGGCCTGTGATTTACTAGAAATTATTCAGTAGCTCAATCCAACAGAAGAGACTCAACAGTTATTGGATCTGGATTGGTAACTTTCATTTATGTGGGGCTCCTTTCTTCCTGTACGTGCATAGATAATGGGCCGTGAGGCCATTTACAAGCATCACAATGTTGACAATGCTGGTATGTGGAATTCCACAAATTCGGCAAAGAGAAAAACATCTCCTTAGTCATCCTAAGAGTATTCATAGATCTATTTTGCAATATGTCATGTGGTATTTACTCGATTTAATTTGGCCTGTTTTGCCCTGCTTGGCCCTGGGACCTGTTTGCAGCAAGAGGGCTCAGTTCTGGATTCAGTAAAATAATGTCTAAACGATTGAGGTCTCTTGTATGCCAATATGCTAATCACTTGCAAAGCCACCTTAGCTATAATTACAGGAAAAAGTTAGTCTCTAGAGTAGAACTGTGTTACTCCAGCATGCTAAACCAGATTAAAAGGATACCTGATATCATTGGGATACTAACCATAATTCAATTGTAATTACTGTGGAACACCTTAACAGTTTTTTGCCCATGCCATGTTATAGGTCTGTTCATTGCCACTGGAACTCTCCATGCTGAGAATTCCCGGATATGAGAAGAAATCTGAAATTAACCTTTCCGTTTGGTTTCCAGATGAAGAGATGGGAAGCTGGAAACTGAGGCTGCTGTTGCCTCTGCTTTTCTTTTTTCTTTGTCTTTTTCACACATGAACAGAACTGAAGTCACAAAGAACGTGAGAGGAGGCAAAGCCTTCTCCTACACACTCTGTGGCAGTTCCAGTCTGTGATTTTTATATATTTATTTATTAGTCAGCCAGTCCGCTCTCCAGGGCATCCATGTGTTTGTGTGTGTATCAAAAAAGTCAAGATGGCGGCCGTATAATTGAAGCCATCGCCACCCTTTTTTAAATATGAGTTGCCATCTTGACTTTTTCGATCCTGTCCTCACAGATGCCTTTGCATCATATCTAGGATGTTACTCAGTAAACTGGGTCTGGCCTCTGTTTGCTAGGTTGTTTGGTAACGGAACTGGCTGCCACATCAGGGTTAGCATTAGATTAGGATTACAGCATTACACACTGGGCAAACATGCAAAAACGAAGACCTATCCCGTTGCACACTGGAAGCCTGGCTAATTTTTTTCCCTTTCTGAGTTTTTACGAAAAACTTAAGCTCAAAGAAATAAAAGAAAACAATAAGATTTTCGAGATATTGAATGAACACAGTGGCACTGATTCCTGTACTGGCCTGTTTGAAGGAAGATTCCCACCTCTGGCATTGCTAGGACCAGAAGCAGCCAAGCTTTGGGCGGCCAAATGCCTCTCTTAACGTTTGGAGGAGAGGGCTGCCAGGTGGGTGGAGATGATCACAGAGGTGGATGGGGCTGAGTTGCGGGGGGAGAGCTTTGTTTTTTTGTTTTTTTAAAAAGTAGCAAAGTGCCTATTTTAGCTGTAATGTGCCATAGCTTCTATCTTGCACCTTAAGGTGAAAGGTAACTGTGCTTTCAGATTTCAGCAAGTTTGGTCAAAGTGGCTTCTGAGATGGCTGTGGGGGCCCCAGTGTAGAGAGTAAGGACGATGACCTTGATGGAGATACGCAGAAGCTGTTGCCTAGGGCAAAGGGGCTAAAGCATTATTTAGGTCCAGGACATCCAGAAAACATTCAGAAGTGCCTCAGACTGGCACTGCCATAATTTATTGAACCATAAGAAGGAAGAGAAGTACAGCCCAGTCAGACTTGCAAGATCCTGTTATTATAGTCCATCTCAACAAAAGTAGTTTTAGCCTTCCTGTGGAGTTGATTTCCTGGTCTGGTCTATCTAGTAGGGCTTACACCCTGAGGCTCTAAGTTCCCCTCTCCCTGGCTGAGACCTTGCTGGTAGACTTTCCAAGAAAACATCTGGTACTACAGTTTGAAGCCCAGGACGGGCTCCCAAGCCACCTTTAGTCTATCTCTCTTAATTCCTGTTTTGAAACACCATGTACCTACCATAATATATTAAATCCAGAAATAAATAAACGAGATCTTATCTACAGGATTAGTGATGGACTGGAGCAGGTGCACCATTCCCTCTCCTGATGCCACATTCAGTCTTCCTCTGGCGCTGATCTGGCAGGAGCAGTAGGGACAGCTGGCAGCCCTCAGTTCAGAGAAGAGCAGACCCTGCTAAGGACAGGGGTCCTGAGTGCTGCTTTCATTTTGCCAGAATGCCTCTGGGTCCTGGTCTAGAGGTATTCTGGGCAAAATCCTGGCTGTAAATCTCCTCCCTAAGAATAAGCTTAGCACTATTCCTTTTTGTTAATTAAAAAGAAAACTAATGGGAGATGCCATGATGTCTTCAGCAACTTTGCTAAAAGCCAGAAAGGTCTTAGTCTGAGTATATGACTCAGCACAATGGTTTGTGCTTCTAACATCAGTTGAATATCACAATAATCTTGACTTAATGATGTACAGTCTGATCTCTTGTCGATGTACACTGTTGACACACCCCGTCTTAAGCGCATTTATTTATTTGTTTAATACAGTTTATGTCTCTCCAGTCTAAACAGGACTCGGAGAGGCTTATACTCTTCCATTAGAAAATGGAAATAGTAATCAATGCAACAAGAACCAGCAGCAGCTCCTGGACCAGCAGAACAGCAACAGGACACAGAAATCCATAACAGGAGTATTCCTCTTATTACAAATCACAACAAACCATAAAAAATCTGTTCCCCAATATTTCCTGGAATAGCCAGGTTTTAATGGCTTTCTGCAAAACCATTCATGTGGTGGTTGCTCTACTGAGAAGTTTGTTGCTCTACTGAGAAGACTCCCTGAAGATGACACTCCTGAAGAGGAGGGACGATCTCACCCTTCCTCATCTTACAGGGTAGGGAGAAGCCATCAGGAGGAGGTGGACCCATAGATAGCCAGTTGGTAAGCTATGTAGGGTTTTAAAGGTGTCAACCAACACCTTGAATGGCACTCAGAAGGAAACCAGTAAGCAGTGCAACTCTCAAAGCAGAAGTGTTACAGAGGAGAACCTAGAGGGTCCCATCACTACTTGTGCTGCTGCATTCTGGATCAGCTGAAGTTGTGCATTGTAAAAGTCCAGACAAGATGTGACTAAGACATGAGTAAATGTGAGCAGGGCCTCCCAAACAAGTGAAAGTCATGACTGTCGCACCAGATGCAATTGCGCAGAGGGCTCTTAGCCACAGCTGCCATCTTCTCTTCAAGCAGGAATCCTGAGCTTGTGAGGGCCCCCAGTTCCATACAAACCAGTTCCATGCAGGACTGCACAAGCCCATCCACAACCAAAGATGGAAGGTAACCAAAGGGGAGCCCATCGCCATTCCACCTTGGTGAGATTAAGCTTGAGCCTGGTAACCCCATCCAGAATTTAAGAGCCTCCAGGCACTGAGATAGGACCTTCACCATTGTAGTATGAGGGAATTGTCTGGATTGGAAGTCACTGGAGCAGTTAGTGATTGTGTATGCATCGTTTAGGATTAAAAATTCACCTCAAAATCAACCTAAATCCCATCATCAGGAGGGGGAAATGGCTGATTCCAAGATAATTGGAACCATGCTGTTTACATCTCTGGCACAAACAATGATTAGTCCTTACCAAATCTGCATGCGTTAGATAAATCATTATATCCTATATGTAGTGATTGTAAGCAAGAAACATGGTCTGGGTTCATGTACCTTTTGTATGATCACTCTATAAAATCCTACCCCAATGTTTGGAATGTTGGGGTGGAGTGGGGGGAGAGGCATCTCGGGCAGAATTTTGCCTCTTTTTTTCTGTTAAGTGGGTGGCAGAGAGCAAGGGGGCCATTCGATGCTATCAACATCTTTTGCCCATTGAGTGCTATGCTGCCTGAAAGGTTTCCCTTTCCAGATATAATACCCCCATGTTTTGACAGAAAATGTCAACAGCACACACATTTTAATAGCAGCCTGCAGACTTGCCTGTTGGCTGTGTGAAGATTCATCATCCCATAAATGCAGCCGTTTCTCTAGATCTTTCCCAACCGCTGCTTTGTGATCTTTCACCACATTCTCTGTTGATGACTGCAAAGGGTTGAGATTTTTCTTCAACGTTCCATGGCTTCCCCTGTGAAAGTGAGACTCAGTTAAACATCTGCTTAAGTATTGAATTAATCCACCCGCTGTTCCGAGGGACAAAAACAAGAAGACTTGAAAGAGCTGGAAGTTGACTCACGATCTCAGATGGGCTCTGAGCCCTGTGATATCTCTGAGTCCACTACAGGCCTGTCTTTTCCATATTGCTTTTTCTTAAAAGTTAACAATGCCTCCACTATTTGGTGCTGAGAATTCATATATTTTAAAATTCATATTTTAAAACCCTGAAGAAATTTACAGCAGCAATACAAATACACAATAGAAAGAGAATTTAGACACAGTAAAAAAAAAAAATCTAACGATACAGTATGATACTTGATCAAATGCCATTGGCTGCTATTATTATTGCTATACAGTACAGTCTTGTTTTTTTATTGCTTTTTTATGGCTATTTTGTTTTGACTAGAGAAGTTGTGTTGATGTATGATGGAATCCTCCTCATGGGCTTGAAACACAGACTTCTAAAAGACATTTCTTTAAAGGCGATCTTTTAATACATTGAACTAGGAATAGATAACATGGAACCCTCTAAATACTGTGGCTGTAGAGTTCCTATGGTTCCTCATTGCTAGCTAAGCTGGCTAGGGCTGATGGAGTTGGCGTCAGCAATTCTTGGAAAGCCACATATGTTTTAAATACATAAAAACAAATTATTCCAACAGAATGATTGGATGGAGAATCTCCAGAGCAATAGGTGCTGTGCATATGATTTCTCAATCTAATTTAGTGGCCGGGACAAAGGGCACCCAATGCTCTAGAATAAATTACAAAGGTACTAAACTTATCTGGGAGAAAAAAGGAGGTACATGAATTCAACGTCTTTACTAAATAACTGGATGGTATATTTAGAGGTCATTTTACCGTGTTGCTTTTAGCCAGCCCTTGCTGTCTGAACACACACATTTTGATCCTGGGCTTTTTCCAATTACAAAGAAAGAGGTTAACTATTATGCATGGACGTGGCTGGAATCTTTTATATTTTTTCAGCCCCTTGATGGAGGAGATGATGATGAACATTTGGGGAGTCAATGACAGGCACCAGAGGGGCAATCAAAGCCTTGTCTCTTTTTATGTGCAAGCAACCCGTGCTAGGAATTTATTTATTATTTATTTAAGCCCCCAAGGGGGTGGAGCTTCAATCACCCTATCACCCCTGCCATTTTGACACTGCTGACCTCCCTGTGAATATCCCAACTGATGAGGATGACAATGGTGATTGGATATTGTTATATCCCAGTTTTTCAGCTGGAAAATCCCTGGAAGGAAACTGTACATTTTAAAAAATAGATTTTACAAAATCAAATCTGTTCAAATAAGGTAATACTGAAGTAAAAAAGCATTATAAGATTAAAATCTGAAAATTATAAAGGCAAGAATCAACCCAATGGTTTTCCAAGAATGAGGACAATGGCAAGCTGATAAGAGTTGATGTTAACAGAAGTTGCTCTAAAGTTCATGGCAAGACAGCAGGATGCCTGAGAAACTGCTTGAACAGAGTAACAACCATGCCATTAAGTTTTTGTATGAATTTATAGTCATTGATACATCAGGGTTCATAATTAAGTATTCCAGAGATCATAGGTTTCACCCTAGCTTCCCCTCCAACTTTTATTGATTCACTTTTATTTATTTGTTTGATTTATATCCTACTTTTTTTATTCAATCATACATTGTAGACAGTCACATTGTCACTGTTTCTGAACATTCATTAAGGACCCAGAGGATAGCTTCTGGCTATTTTGCACATAATATAATTGTGCTTTTACTTTTGTCTTAGAGTGATGGTCAAACCAGATCAAAGTAAATGAGATGGAATGTATCAATGACCTCAAAACTTAAACTTCTGAGTTAGTTTTTTCCCAGCCTGCTGCCCTCCAGAAGTGGCTTATATATTTCCTGCAATCTCCAGCCAACTCAGTTAATGGTAATGCTATACTGGGGTTTATGAGAGTTATAATTCAATACATCTGGTGGGGCATTATGTTGTGGAAGGTTCTCTGGATGATGTCTCCCACCAGTTTCGAACAGATGTTAACCAGTAATAGCAAAAACACTGAGTTCTGCAACACAGCCCTTGGAAATCCAATATCTCCAAATGATTCTCCAAATGATCCAAAACTGTGCAGACCAGAGCATTTGAAAGGACCAATGAAATCAGTAGGAAAGAATTACCTCTTCTCATCTGTAGCTTTACTTCTAAGTAATTACATAATGAAATTGCATTGTTGCAACAGCACATTTTAGAATATAATATCCTCTCCTCAGTCAAGCCAATTTCAGGGAACAAAAAAAGCATAGATGACCCAGAGATAAGCCAAAAATAATAGGATATTTTCTATAATAAGTAAAATAATAATCTGAGAGGAGGAGGAGAAGGAGAAGGAGAAGGAGGAGAAGGAGTAAAGGAAGGCTACTTTAACTTGTTGAATTAACAGATATCCAGATCAGTATATTTTTACTGATCTGATCATTCAATGTTTGAATTACTTACATAGCAGGTGCACATTTAGGTAGGCCCATGGCATTTGTTGGGGGTGTAGAAGGAAGGGCAGGTAGAACAGCACTCAGGAAAGCTACCGGGTTCTGAATCCGCCCAGTAGGAGAGAGAGGTGTAGGAAGCACATTTTGGGGCTGGAACTGGCTCATGCTAGACACAGAGAGCAGAAGTGGTGGCAACACATGTTCTCTGGGACTTGGAAGAGGCTGCTCCGTTTGGTTTGTCAACCCTCCTGGAGATTTGGACTGGGTTGGTGGAGGAGATACTAAGAGTTTTTCCTTCTTAATTGTTTTCTGGGTTCCTTGAGGTACGTTGCTGAATGAAGACATAGGGGAGCTAGAAAGGCTACTGGCCGCTGAGGTGTTTTGAGATGCCAGGAACTGTTTAGGTCGGGTGTATGTGAATGTCTGTGTAGAAGGAACCTTGTTCTGCTTGTATGTCGCTGATGAAGGTTGCTTCTGGTGCTGCTGCTGAATGGGCAAAGCAGTAGATTTTCCTGGGCTAATATTGAATAATGACTCTGGTGGAGCTGAGGGAGAAGGTTGCTGGATTTGCTGCTGCTCAAACAAGACCTGGTTGTGTAGTTGTTTTAACTGGGTGGGATCCCTGCATACAAAAGATAAACATGAATGCAATCTATATTACAGGCTGCTTGGAAAGCACTGAACAGGCTGTACGTACTACTTCTGAAACAAAATCAAAATTATATATTTCTACTTGCATTTTCAAAGTCTTTTTAGAGCAAGTAAGAACTGGGAGAACGTGCAACATACAAAACTGAATTTGTATCCCAGACGGTGAACTGGGCAAGACCCATGTAGTCATGTAGTCCCATCAGCACAAAGAACCCTCCATTGTTCAGTTGGATCCAAACTGGGATCCTGCATATTACAAGCAGATTATTTCCCCACCATGTTACTTGAACCTTAGCAATTCCTCCATATGAAATACTTCTCATGTTTTTTTCCAGCCAGAAACTTCCAAGTCTATTAACCAAAGCCATGGTACAACTGTTCCATCTTTCCTTCTGCCCCTTCATAGAATTTCAACGGTAAGAAGAAAATGTGGAAAAGACAATGGAAGAACATAGGAAGGTCGCAAGTGGAAGACATCATAATCTGAACTCACAACAACATTTTGTGAATGAGGCAGGCAGGGACATCCTTGGGGGGTCAAAAAAGTCAAGGCGGCAGCCGTGACTGCGTTATCAAAGCCCATCTTCTTTATGTGCGTTGCAGGTGACACTTGTCAAAAAAGTGGGACTTTGATCATGCAGTCACAACCACTCACTTGACTTTTGTCTCCCCTGCCCTCTGTAGACCCCTCTGGAGGCAGTCACAATAAAACTTCACCAGAAGCATCCTAGGTTTTCTTTTGTAGGTAGTTCTTCAGGTATTACCAAAGAATCTGGAGATCTAATATTGTTCTACAGCAAAATAATGTTAGATCTCCAGATTGACTTAACACATTTCACTTCCTGCAAGCCTGATGCTTGACATAACAGGCTGGAGTATTTACTCACAAGTAACTTCTCTATTACTCTTTGTTCTTATTGGCTGCAAATGTACAAAGAGATTGAAGAAGTTAGGAGACAAAGAACAATAATCTGGTCCTCCTTATCCCAGGACTCCAATGCTGTATTTTTTTTGTATGAAGTAAGAATAGATAAATTGAATTTATACTGGAATGTTCTTCCTGACAGCTCTAAATATTTGCCAACCAATACTTTCTTACTTCTTACTCACAATTTAGGTTTAGCCAGTACAGGTGGTGGCTCTTTGGATGGTGAAGTGGGCTCCTGAAGTTTAAAAGCCTGTCCATTGATTTTATTTGGAAAACTGTTTGGTCTGGCTTGATTTTTAAGTCTGCTTCCATCTTCTGATGACGTTTCACTTCCCTTATCATCTTCAGGTAGCTTAAAGTGCACACGAAGGCCTATCTTGGAACTTGATCGGGGCTCATTGTGGTTTACCAGGACGCCTTCCAATTTAGGTTTTGGAGGGTTATCTATCAATGAAAGTGAAGGGGCAGATACTGAAGGTTCAGAAGCCACTAAACTGATAGAACTTATGGTATGAAGAGCAGCATTACTTGTCTGGTCCGCAGGTCCTAAGACAGAAGCATTATACATGTATTATCATACTCAAACAAAGCAATAGCAATAGAAGAAAATAAATATTGTTGGTTGACTTTGCAAACAAAAATGGGCACAGATTGAATCAATACAGGGGCATCCACAGAGGAGGGAAAAAAAGTCAAGATGACATCTATGACTGTGTGACTGAAGCCCCGCCTCTTTTTATGTGTGTTGTCGACCCTGGATCAATATAGAAGAACCCCATATTGGTGTTGTCGATTTTCATTTGGCCTGTTAATTTAAATATTTTTAAAAAAATTATCCATTGTAAAATCCATATCCGTTGATTGATTGCAACTTTCCCTAAATGCAAGATATTTGTATGCAACTTTCTCTAATGTATGTTTTTTATATTAAACATATATAAAAACTTTAAACTATGCTTTATTTGCACTTTTCATGAACTTTTTTTTTCTCAAATGGATCTTTCACAAATAAATGATTTCTTCTGCAACTTTTTAATTGGTGAACAACACTCTAGCAGGTACCTCTAATTGCTGCTGATGGAGCTACTGTTTTGACAGATTATGGTTGGGGAGCATTTCTTCCCTCCACTCATTTTTTCTCCAGTGCCATCTGTGACCCAAATATATAAATTAAATCAGAAGATGGATACAAATGGAATAATCAGTGAGAACTGAAATATTCTGACTCCTTAGAAAGTGGCATAGCTGTTGGAAACAATAGACTAAGAGCATCTACAATTGCCTAATCTTTCTGTAGTTCCCTAATCCTGTTGATGCTATCTGGGAAAAGAGTGGAAACATAAATCAATTTTGTTTACCCTAATTGATAGGAAAATGGGTTGGTGGAGTTTTAAAGCAGGGCCTTATTCTCTCTCCACCCAAAAAAGACAAAAGGACTCCAAGGAAATATGGATCATGACAAATATTTTAATCAATCAGTTTAGTGCTGACCTATTTTCTTTTGTTTCTTGCTGCTGCAGTTTTGGGATCAACCATTCTTCCCTCTTCTCACAAGCCTCTTTTTGCAAAAGAGTCTCCACAGCTCCACCACCTTTATAAAAATCTGAGTTGTGGTCAACCTTTTGCGAAATTGGAAGGGCAGAGAGGGAGGCTCTGTTTCTGTATCCCAGAATGCAGGGATGATCTGATATTTGCAACACATACTAAATACTCAGTAACTTGATTCACACTAAGCCACAGTGTGGTGTGTTTGGTGTTGATTTAGTTTATTTTAGCTCTAGAATTTATGATTTGTAAAGTATGGTTTTGTAGCTTAGCACAACATGTAAACATGGTTTAATAAAGAATGGCTTAGTGTGAAGTGAGAACTCAAGAGTCAATCTGTAATCTCCATTTTTAGACAGTCTAAATTGTAAACTTCATCTGAGCTAAATTTTGAACTTTCACTGAAGTAAATGTTCTTATCTGAATATTTATTTATTTACTTGATTTTGGGCCATTGCAATCAATTAACTCTTGGCGGATTAAAATTAGCAATTTGTAATAAAACTTCCAGTATCCACAGTATTCATCAGATAAAACAATCCAAAGTTAAAATCACAAAATATTATCATAAATATCTGTTCTAGTCAGAATGAACCAAAATGACAAAAATAAATAATCAGAGGGTCACATTCAGCTGACAAAAGCTCTACTGAAATCTAGAACTTCCTTCCTTCCTTCCTTCCTTCCTTCCTTCCTTCCTTCCTTCCTTCCTTCCTTCCTTCCTTTTTGAGTAAACCCTTCCTAGGCACTATAAATCTATATTTAAAATTATTAAAATATAATAAAACAATGAAACAAGACAATGAAAACTTATTTATTTATAATTTATATTTCTGAAGCTTCCCAAATCAGTGGTGATGCTGGCCACCACACAAATAAAAAACAAAGCCAGAGTACATTAAATCATAACAGGGAACAGACATATACCATGAACAAACCCAAAACAGCTTAGTCCAGGTTGACATGCATCCCAACCCAGGGTCTAAGGGAAAAGCCAGGTCTTCAAGGCCTGTTTAAAGGATATTAGGGCTGTTTGAACATCTGTGGGGATGTTGTTCCAGGGGACAGATGCCATGACAGAGAAGTCCCGCTTCCTGGGCCCCATGAGAAAGCATCACTGAAGAGATGGGACTCTAAGTGAGCCCACTGTGTCAGACTTTACAGGATGGGCAGAAACAAGGAGACCAGCATTTTAAGTTGCACCCACAAGTAAAGAGTGTGGCTGGCATATCAAAAGAATTATGTGGGCGTACCAAGACATGCCCATTACTGCTTATGCCCCTGCATTCTGGACCAGCTGTAGCTCCCAGTGGTCTTCAAGGGCAGCCCCATAGAACACTCTGCAATAGTCTACTTGTGAGGTGACTGAGGTGTGAGTGACTGTAAGAAGGGGCTCCTGGTCCAGGAAAGGGTGCAATTGGTATTCTAGACAAATTTGTAAAAGGCCTTCCTGCCCACAGCTGCTATTGGCTTTTTGAGCAGGAACTGTGACTCCTGGAAGAACCCCAAATTGCACTCCAGTTCTGTCTGGTGAAGTGCAATCCCATTCAGAACTGAAGATGAAAAAAACCCCAGCAAAGAAAGAACCATGAACTTGTACCCACTCGGCCTATTTCTCTCTATCCAGACCCCAACAACTTGCAGGTAATGGGATGAGATCTTGGCAGTACCACCTGGTCAACCAAGGTTGAGATATACAGCTTAGTGCTATCGACATATTGCTTGTACCTGACCCCATGTTGACGGATGAGCTCAGCCAGGAGCTCCTTGTAAATATTAAATGATTTTGAATTATTAATGATGGACTATTTAAAATGAAGCACCTGCAAACCAGGGTGTTCCGTCTCAACCTCTCCCCAACCATCAACATTGACTGGAGCCCACCATACAGAAAGGAAGAGAAAATACAACAAGACAGTGTACATCTGCTTTAAAAACCATTAAAATAAAATAATGCAATGATAAAAACATAATAAAACTGAACACGTCCCTGATTATGTTGGTTAAAATAAAGCCTTACCCTTTACAATTAGATGAGCTGCACTGGAGACTGTCCCATATTTATTGCTTGCCGTGCATGTAAAACTTCCAGAATCTTCTGAAAATACTTCAGCGATGACCAAAGTGCAGATCTCCTCTGAAAACCATTGTAAGAAAGTTAGCACTTTTTCATGAAGTATGAAATTATGCTTAAATTAACCATAATGTAGCACAATCTTCTCAGACCTAGTGATCTCCAGATAGGTCACGCCACAATTTCTAGCCAATGTGTTGAGAATGATGGGAATTGCATTCCAACAGGTCTAACCTTTTGTACAGAAGCTCAAGGCAGTCTACCTCCTTGTATTTTTCCCTATACCAATCCTGTGAGGTAGGTTGGGTTGAAAGAGAGTGACTGCCCCAAAGGCACCCAGTGAGCTTCCATGGCTGAGGGGGCACCAGAACTTGGGTCTCCCCACGCCTAGTCCAACACTTTCACCACAACATCACACTGGCTGTCTAAAATGCATAGAATCCAGCTGGCAAGATTATTTGACATCTGAGACATAAAGAGGCACTTTGGTGCAGTGGTTAATGTGCTAGATTAGGAACCAGGAATGATGAGTTCAAGTCCTGTCTTAGGCATGAAGCCATCTGGGTGACTTTGGGGCAGTCACTGCCTCTCAGCCCAACTCACTTATTGTTGTGGGGAAAATAGAAGGGAGGGAACATTAGGCATCCCACCTTGAGTTGTAAAAAATAAAGATGGTAAAGCAATCAAATAAATAAAGTACCACAAGTCTGTCTCCCTGAATAAATATATGATTAAATGTACTATAAAAGAGCTTGTTGCTGTTTCATGGCACTCAAAATCTGTTAAGGATGACTCTGACAAGGACAACACCATTTTTTTCTCCTAACTTTTAGTGATCTCTTTGCTGATTTCTATCCTTCACTGGGGTACAGTCTCGGGAATTACTTACAGGATGGCAGAATAGCTGATTCTTTTTTCCTTGCATAATTTCCCTAACTATTCTGACGATAAACTAGGGTTTGAAGTTTAAAAAACTATGGGATTAAAGACATACACAAAAAAATCCAGCCTCTCTTTCTTGGTATGATAATATGAAGGTTATCAGCTCTGGGTTGCAAAAATCTGGAGGATTCTTAGCTACTAACAAAATTAACGATTTCTGGGTGTCTCATTGCTGCCATCCAACAGTGAACCAGAGTTGTAGCCCTGGAAATATCTAAAGTTATTGTAAAAGTCAATTCCCCAAGTGATGATGGTTCTGGAGACCACCAGTCAACATCAGGAAAGACTCCCCGTTATCACCCTTTCTCCACTTCATAGGAAAGCTGTGAGAAACAAAAAATTCTCCTACCTCATGTCCACTGGGAGATATTGGGTCCAAACTGAAAATAATTCAGTTGCTGGAATTCTTGTAACCCTATCCCTTTCACTTCAGTAGATTTGGCTCAAGAGAACTTGGTGAGAATTTTGCAGAGAAAAGAACCACTTTGAGTTTTAGGCAGCTGTCAAAGAGGATGACTGCTATGTGGGTGCCCAGCTAAATGGGGTGTCCACTGGGTGTGGCCAAAAAAGTCCAAATGGTGGCCCCGAGGATGCACTTAAAATGGGAGAAGTTTTGATTGCACCATTGTGGCTACCATCTGGACTTTTGTGATCACACACTACAGACCCCCCTGCCACTAAGTGGTCTTGAATTCCACAGGAACCAGATCTGCTCAACTGCTTAGGGAGAGCACAATCCATGCACTTTAGAGGGAAAGGGAAATTGATACTCTAAGGATGTGTCCTCTCAATATTCTGGCAAGTGGCAGGCCATCAGCTAGTGAGAAGCTGGCTGTTCATGCCAGGCTAATGAAGAGCTCTCTCACCAAAGATACAGACACATGTGCTTTTGTTTCTCTGAGGCTGTTTGCAGGACACACAAAGTGCCCCCCAATCATGGCATCACTACTTCATGGCCCCTGGATGAGGTCCTTGTGCCCTTTCATTTAGCACTGACTCAGATCCTCTATTTTGGTCCTGAAGTCACTGAAAAAGTAGTTGCAGTCAGGATTCCCTCTTGGAGGGGGAAATGCTTGACATGGCCTTCTCCAGTTTCAGAGCTAGAATGCCTGAAGTGGTTCTCTCATAGTTCATGAGTGAGAGCAATGTGGAGCACTGAGGGTTAAGAGAGAAAAACTGGCACGGGCTGAGGGGTGACAATACACCTCGACTGGCAAGCTGGATAAATATAGTGCAGTCCAATATCTCCTGGTGTACATTTGGCTTCCAAGAAAGTAAGGGACTGAATAAGGCCTGTTTCATTCACATCAAGGCTGGGAAAAAGAAGAAGTCCCAGATCTGAAATAAGGACCATCTAGAAGAGAATGGAAGCTACAGTTCCAACCCTTGAACATCTTCAGGGTCAGTGTTAGTGGTTTTTCCAAGCTTTCAGTGCTAATGTTATTCCTACCTCACAGAGAATAGGCTCCTTTTAATTAAGTGGGGCTGATTAGTGGTAGAGGCATAATGCTATATACTCTTGACTTAGAATTTATTTAGAGTGACCTGGAAGTAAGTCCTATTAAAATCAGTGGGACTTTTTCAGAATAGGTATGTAGGGAATTCTGCTGCTATCATGTTACTGTGTTAGAAGTAGTGGGACTTCTTGCTTTTTGCAGATGAAGTTGAATGGAATATTTCACAATTCACAACACTCATCTGCTATAGTCAAGATACAATTCAGAGGAAATCGCCTTGTCTCCTCCTTCCAGTGGCAGTCTTCTTCCTGAAGTCAATATATTAATAAATAATTTAGCCTCATGTTATGAAAGATGCTCATGGCCAGGGGTGTCTGCAGGTAGGGTCAAAACAGTCAAGATGACTACTGCGACTGTGTGACTGAAGTCCTGCGAGGTTGGGGCAGGACTTCAGTCACACAGCCTCTCTAATACAGCCTCCCTGTAACAACATAATTTCTTTGCTTTATGTTTATGTGTCATATCGGGTAGGATACCTCTGTGTGCTTTCTGTGTGAAGCAGGAACTGCAATAATACATTTTTTTAAAAAAATCTGCTTTTTTGTTTTTAATCACAGAAACAATTCTGTAAGAGTGGTGTAATTTAGTAAGCAGGTACATTAGGATAAATATACCTACCAGGCTCAGCCATGGAGCGAGGTTCTAAAAAAGAAAGAAAGAAAAATAAACATTACTTAATGCTGTATTTATTTTAACACACATCATGTTTTTCCGCAGTCTTATACAAAAATATAGAAAGCTGGGCTAATTCGTATCAGTTAAGCTTCTTTAAACACAGTAGATAGAACTATTGGAGTGGTGCAGTTACTTCTGGTCCTGATTCTAATCTCTGACTCATCCTGAGGAGGAGGAGGAGGAGGAGCAGGAGGAGGAGGACAGCCAGAAAGCCAGGCCCCAGCACAGTGGAGAAGCAGGACCAGGTCCTATTGCTCCTGACTCTGCCGCAAAGTCCTCCCACTGCAACCATCCAACCCATAAGAATGCCGTGGTCTTTGAAGAAGCCAGAGAAAGGAGCACAGAGCTTGGTGTGGGAGCATCTGGCATGAACTAGTCCTACTCAGAGTTGATAATTGGCTGACTGATGCCAGTTGTGCTCAAGCCCAGCCTGGGAATCTTCTGCATTTAAGGACCTTCCTGAATGCAACACAATGCTGGAATCACTATATGTTTCATGGGCCTTTCCCCACTGCTGAGTCGAAGTGCTCTCTGCTGTTCCTTGAGACAGAAGACAATGATAGTGGCAGGAAATTTGCTGCCCCATTGCTAATCTCTGTCCTGCCTTTATTGTCTCTGTTACAGCTTGCTGCCATTGCTTGATTTCCCTTAAGGTCACGGCTGACAAACTGAAGATTTTACACATCTTGAACTCGTCTTTGGATTGGGTTGAGATACCAGTAAAGTTGAGGAGGACTTCAGCCTGTCTTCCTCATAGGTTGGGGATAAAAAGAAGGCAATATCATAGGGACACAGCAGAATAAAGATGTTTTATGTTTTACCCTATGCCTATTTAAGGTGGGCAGAAGGATAACAATGCATAAAATTACCGACACACCACAAAGTGATTGGCTGTTCTGCACAGAAACTTGCACATGAATGTCTATGCTGGACTGTGTATAGTCTTGGAGAAATGAACTAAGTTTCAAAACTAAGTTCTCTCTATTGCATCAGTTTTTGCAAGCCGTTGCATTGTCCACATGGTACAACCAGATATAATAGCTTCAAATCAAAGAATGTGTATCAGGGGTGTTGACAGGGTATGGTAAAAAATTCAAGATGGTGGCCATAACAGTGCAATCAAAGCCCTGCCTGTTTTTTATGTGCAATGCACATAAAACTCAGGAAGAACTTTGATTGTACCATCATAGCTGCCAGCTTGATTTTTTTTACCATACTCTGCAGACACTACTGATGTACATACTGTGGCAAATGTTTTGTCCTGAACTTTAAAAAAAGCCTCTTTAGAAAATTCATCTCCAGACAGGTTTAGACTGTGCTCTCTGAATTTTAGTTATTAGTAACAACTTTGGTTTGTATGAACTTGGAGTGGTGTAGGATTATGCCTTCTTGTACATTGTACTGTTGTACTCTGTACAATGAGACATTGTATAGTACAGTACACTGCTGTAATTGCTAACTGTTAACTTTGAACACCTGTCTGACCATCCTTACCTTGATAGGCCAGAGTATACATATGGAAGTTACATCCATGATATTTTAATTCCTTTTTTTTCTCTATTGGTGAAACCCAGTCCTGAACTAGCTTCAGGATTTAGAGGTAAAGTTTACCCTGTGTTTTACCCTATGTCTATTTAAGGTGGGCAGAAGGATAACAATGCAGAAAATTACAGATGCACCACAAAGTTATTGGCTGTTCTGCACAAAATCTTGTGCATGAATGTCTATGCTCGACTGTATAGAGTCTTGGAGAAGTGAACTAAGTTTAAAAATTAAGTTCTCTCTGCTGCATCAGTTTTTGCAAGCCGTTGCATTGTCCACATGGTACAACCAGATATGGTGGCTTCGAATCATTTTTCTCCCTGTTTTATCACTTTGACTTGTAACATGGAGGCAATATTGACACGTCTTGCAGGACTGAGGTATCAGAAGATTACATGAGAAGTGCTTCTCATGTGCTTGAGAACAATAGCAATCCTATAGCAGTTTCCGGATTGTGGGGAAGAATGGTAGCTTAGAAATGCTACTTTCACAAGGTTTATTTAGAAGCCTTTGCATGTCACATGCAGCAAAAAATCACTTCAGTGCCACAGCAGTCCATAAAAGCTGAAAAGCATACTTTTCTGTAATATTCTGAAGTCTGGGGAGTCTTCTATCAATGTCCCTTCTCTGTACCATTCCACTTTTGGAGAAGGAGCTCCTTTCACTCGACATTCAAACACTACCAGCTGACCCTCAGAGGCGGATATGTTCTGTAGCATCTAAAACAAAAACAGACATTATGTTATTTTAACATTTTTAAGATTAATACATAGGTAATTGTGTGTGAATAAAGCGAAGTCAGCTTTGAGCTGAACTTGCCTCTGGTCCCTTAATGGATACATCCATGCAATTTTCTTGTCATGATACAAAAGTGATTTGCCATTGTTTTTGGCAAGAATGGGGGCATGTTGTTCAATTTCCTACTCTAATTTACAGCCCAAGATTTCAAACATGGTTCCATCCAAGTACTGGCCAGAGCAGACCCTGCTTAGCTTTCTACATCAGCCAAGGATGGCAATATGCTACTACCCACTAAAGCTGTCTATGGAAAGTTCTCTGTAGGACAGCAAGAAAGCAGTTTTAAACTACAATATGTGCTAGAACATCTTTCCCTAATCTGGTGCTGTCCAAATGAGTTGGAATATAATATCAATTTTATCTTAGCAGACATTGCTATTAAAAGATGGGAGGTGGCCATCTGGAGAACTTTTTTAATTTGTACAGCAGAAATATCTAATATTTTCAGATGTGTGCTTAAAAGTGTACTGATTCATTCTAAAGAAGCAACTTGAGGACACTAATGATGATAATATAATCTCTGATCTTTTGAGAGATATTTTATGATTGGACAAATTGCCTGAGAATTCGATTATCACATCTACTTGTTTCCCTTTATGAAAAGAACTCATTCAAGCAAGTCACCTTGGTGAACACAGGAGCAGCTATTAGGGGTCTTCCATCCAGTCCTTGCAAATAATTAGTGGGGCTCTGATTCTAGTAGTTAAACAAAGAAACAAACATCAGGCATATGATGTTGACATAACATTTTTGCTTCCACAGAAGATGATGAATGGAGAGAACTGTATGAAAAAAAAATTCAAAAGCAAAACTATATAGACTTTGCAGGAAAAAATAAATAAGCAGGAGATTGAAGTCAAGCCATATGGAATCTAACCTTGTGGGAATTTTCACAGCATCATTGAAGGTAAAGGTCAGGAGGGACCTTGGAGAACATCTTGCTCAAACCCTTGGCTACATATTGCCCTACAATTTAACATGGAACCTTTAGAGAAGCTGAAGTGTGAACCATTTATTATTTACAGAAATAATGGTTTTATATTGTTTGTTATTTATAAAAATTTCTATCCCACTGTTTCATTATTAAAAACAATCCCAAATTGGAGTGCTATTCACTAAAATAATTTTAAAATACTATTACTACTATTATTAATTCTTGTAAGTATAAAAATGTAAATAATTTTCAAAAATTCTAAATATGGACAATAAGATCAGACAAGACCAACATGTCAAAGCAGCACCAGTACATGAAAAGACTCCTTGTCATCCATAAATGAACAGGAAGGGAAGATCCCAACTCAGGAGTTTATACCCAAAATGACCTCTCACAGTCACCATTGGTTTTTGTCTGTAATGGCTACTTGTCAGATTTATTCCAGTATAAAGGTCCATGGTTCCAAACAGCCAATCAAACAGACAAATGTGATATGACCGGTCTCTTAATTGTCCAAGGATGCCTGTGGGGTATTGTCAAGAGAGTAAAGATAGCATCCATGATGGTCCAATAAAGCTCCACCTGTTAATAGGTTGAGCTTATATCGCACTGTGGGCATCCATATCCTGTGGTCAATGCTGTAATTGCCCCTTGATTAGATTCTCATATTTCCCCAGTGTTAGTTGTGTTCCTGAGTGCTATTAATCATGTTGCACTCCATAGGGAGTTTACTGGGGAAGAGGGTTGAAGGAATCCTGGTTCAAATCTACTTTACAGGTAGTCCTCATTTAGTGACTACAATTGGGACTGGTAACATGGTCGCTAAGTGATGCAGTTGCTAACTGGAAAATCACATGATCTTGACTGTACTTATGATTTTACTTCAGCTTTCCTTTGCTTTAGAGCATCCAAAGGATACGACCCCGAACAGCTGGGTGAGTCCAAATGGCAGAGAAGGTTTCTGGAACTTGACTCACAAGGAAGCCAGGTAAAAGGGCAAATCTTATAGCCATTTGCCCCCCCCTGCTTTGGAGTGCTCACCCTGGCGCTGGGATAATTAGCAAGAAGAGAATTAATGTTCATTCATTGGAGAGGAAGGGATTACAAGAGAGTAAGCAGGCACACAGTGAGGAATACGCATTGAAAGGAATGTGCTAGTGCCTGCTGCTTGCCTACTACGCTTGCTCAGAAGGCAAACAAAAGCCGAAGGTGTGAAAGTGAGTAAAGTCTTGTCACTTGCAGGCAGCCTCTGTGAGCCAGCTAATTAAGGTCGCAGAGCTGAGCTTGTCAGCTTGCCATTAGCACTTTTTAGGGATGTGCTGCCCAGAGAAAAGCAACTCAGAAAGAGTTAGCTTGTTTAGGCAATCTCTCCACTCTGCAAGGGGGGTGGGGAGAAAAAAACCAGGTCAGGCACCAGGTAATGGCAAACACATGGCTGAAAGAGAGATGCTGCGAAGGTCGTAAATACGGGCCTTGGTCACAAAGTTACTTTTTCTTTACCATCATAACTTCGAATGGTCGCTACCTGAAATGGTTGCTAAGCGAGGTCTACCTGTATTTTATTTATTTATCAAACTTGCATGCTGCTGAATGTTTATGACTCAGGTTATTTACAGTATACTAAAATAAGTAAGAACATCCACAGAATAATAAAAAAAAACATTAAGACACAAAATAACAACAGTACTTATAGTAGCTTTGGATTAAAAAAAAATACATCATCATTCCACAAAGATCCTCTGGAAAATCTTGATCGTTAAAAGCTCCCAGAAGGATGTCAGTGAAATGTGCTGGACTATGTGGCAAACCCTGAGTTGGAAGAAGAGAGAGAATGCGACTTCATAGCTGGAACAGTTAAGGGCAACAGAAAGCTACCTCAGATGTGGGTTCCTAGTCTTTAGTGTGATAAAAATGCAAAGGGTCTGAAGTTGCATCTCTAACCCTTCTGAATAAAGGTAAGTAGAATTGCATTGCTAATAACAGTTTTCTTTTCAATTTTATAATAAATTATATTCTTATTCCCCCCACCCCCCCACCCCAATGATTTACTCTGTCTGGATACCTTATTTTGATTTATGTTTTCCCCTGTTCCATACCACAATGAAAACAAAATTGTGTTAATGCTTCAACTGAAAACCAAAGATTAAGATAAAATGCAAATTATGCGTTCTATAGAGCAGCTTCTGTAACATGGTCTCTTCTACGTATGTTAGCCTACCACTGGGTTCCTCAGTGGGATACTCTCCAGATGCAAGTGATGCCACTCCCAGAATTCTCAGTCAAAAACATCAATTGGATCTGCTGGCTTGGAATTCTGAGTCTTGCAGTCCAGTCCTAAATGACTGGATGTCATTTCGAAGACATCACCTTGGGGCAGATTGGATGACAACATCACAGCTACACAAAGCTAGGAGTGTTTTTTGTCCCCTTCAGGGAAGCATCATATTTATCTTTCTTACATGATACACAGGAACTGAGACAGGATGTTTCATCACAGGTTGTGGTTTAATGGTTTCTTGACGGGCTGTTGAAGAATTAGCAAGAGCAGGAGCAGGAGCAGGAGCAGGAGCAGGAGCAGGAGGAGGTGCATTTGATGAGGTCTTAATCTGGTTTTGGTACCTGGGAAAAAGTTGGAAAAAGCCAATTGACAAAAAAGAAAACAATATGAGTTTGTGAAGGCTGAACCTACCTTTAACCATTGATTTTGAGTGAATTAAAAACTACCTTGATGGATTGGGAACTCTGTCATGCAACTGGCTTTAAAGCCTTCTCGAAGCACCTTTGCCCCAAATGCCCCCCTCCCTTTTGTCCTCACCAAGGATCCTAAGAGTGCTCTGTGGCTTCATTCCTTGCTCTGTGGAGCGAACAGGAATGGTGAACAAGTACTTCCTCTAGCTGAGAAGTGAAAGATGGGATACGCCATCTGCCCCTGAGGGAGGTCAAAGTAAGGGTGCCCTTGAATTGGACTCAACTCCAGTGATGGCATCCAGGCCTTCTTCTCAGCAGCATAACGGCAGTGGTTTGCTCTTGCCTTTTCCCGGGATTTTTTTTTCTTTTCAACTTCACCCTCTGAGGGAGATGGGCAGCATATAAATTTAATAAATAAACAAACAAATAAACTTCTCCCTCTAGCCTTTCAGCCCTGGGATTTCCAGGCAGTCCCCTCACTGTACGAACCTAAACAACAGAATGTCAATAACTTTTAATTAACATTGTATAAACATCGTTGTATTGAAACAATACAATCTATTAAGATTTACAACAATATAATAAAAAGGGAAATCAAACAAACAAACCCCACAATATAATAAAGAACAAATTCCGTTAACCATTGGAGATGCCTTGTTTGAAAGATAATGCATACTTCAGCACAAATGTATCTTCTTTCTTCCAAAAGAACTTAACTATTTCCCCCCAAAACAAACGCTAGATCACTGTAGAGCTTGGATAAGCGTATTGATTAAGTTCCTCAATGATCAGTGAGGTTTCCTTATGGAAGGCAACTCTATCAAGATGGTTCCTCTGGGCAGCTTCATCCTCAAGATCACTTTGGAATATTCTAAACGGGGAAGACATCCCCCAGTGAGGGAAAGGGTGAAAAATAATTCACTGTGTTTCAACTCATAAGAAACATGTTTGGGGCTTCTAAACAGACATCTCCTAGAGGACCATGCAGCCGTTCCAAACTACTTTTCTTGCTGAGCATTATTTTGAAAAACAGGCTTCCATTTATAACCCTTTCATTTTTGTACATCTACAAAACAGATACGTTGTTTACAAAATGAAAGGGTCATCTGGTACACTCAGCCAGAACGAAACATGGTTTGCAAAAGAGGCAGTGAAAATGAGCTGCTTGGGGTCCGGGAATCTGAAGCTGGGCAATTTTCAACTTTGCACGAGTGCTTAAGCTATTTTCCTCTACACACGTTTAACCGGTGTATTTGTAAGTAAATTCATCTGTATGATGGGATCACGGTGTTTGCTGAGCTTAAATGTTCTTAAATGTTCTAAACACCTTCTTGAAAATGTTTCACTATAACACTAGCTAGCACTGTCAATGCTTTGGCAGAAGGGAGGGGGGTTTGCTGGCTTTTGCGTGTGGTGGCTTGCCTTACCTGTTTGATCAGGGCTGCTGTAGTTTGTATGCCTGTTTCTAACTGGCTTACCCAGCTTGGTTGGCTGGGTTGTTTCATCTTAGTTTGTTTCTGCCTATTGGGCTGGTTCTCCCTTATCTACCTGTTGATTGCTATGCCTGCGATGCTGTGTCCTGGACTGTTTGCTTCTCTCTTGGGCATCTGCTTGCTTTTTGAGTAGTTTCTATCTATATGTCTATTTAATGGCTGATGTTTCCAAATGCCAGGGTTTTAGGAATTCTCTTGCATTCTTGGATTTGTCTTGATCTAAAATGGTTGCTGTTTCGCAGTGCTCTCTGCGTTGTGAAAGAAAGAATTTTCATCATGCCTCCTGTCTGCCAACTGGTGTTCAGGCCTGCATTCTGCTACTCTTCGGGCTGCTTGTCCTACCCAGTGGCTTTCACTGTCCTTTTATTCCATGTTATAAATAATTCCTGTTCTGTCTTCTTTAGCTGTTGGATCTTTGGGTTTACTGAAGGTGCTTTGAAGGGGCTACTACATATGCCATTGCTCATCTCTTGTTAGATCATGGAGGGTTTTATCGATTTGCTTGTCCATTTTCTGCAGTTTAGGGTATATGCTTCTTTTTTGTTCAACAGTTGTTGAACTTTCTGAATATATTGTGCTCTATCCATGTTGACTATCTTTCTGCCTTTGCTGAAAAGATGATGAAGTTTTGGTCCTTCTGTACTGTTTTAAGGCTTTTTTCCCCCTTCTGCTTTAAGGTCATCCTGTTTCTGTGGCTGTTTGGTCACAAATATGACTGGATCTCATTAGAGAGACCAGTTGTTTTGAGCACTGGTTCAAATGCTCAGAAACTACCAGCAGATTTCTTCAACTGCTAGGCATCACAGTGGCCCACAAACCAATGAAATTCCTCCATATTTTCCACAATTGTTAATCTGTACGAGTGGTTATTTGCAGCAATCAGAATACATGTGAGTACAGAGATGGCTATATTCAGGCACTGAGAATTAAAAAGAGACTCATTAAAAGAGGGAGCTCGTTCCCCACTTTTTTCCCACTTATATTTGGGGACCGGGATGAGAATGAACCTTCACCGGCTAAGTCATTCTTACTGTCTGGGAACAGGAATGGGGAAATATCACATAGCAGTGACTGAATAGACAGCTGCAGAGATCAGATTTTCTCATTTGCCAGAGGAAGACTTGTCACATTTTTGGCAAACATAATACTCATTTTCTTTATATAAAGAATATTGAGGTTTATGTGGTGACAGCTGGATCTTTAGCAACAAGAAAGGGAAACTGTAGTTAATTGAGATCTAACCCTTTCTAATCCTGTCTTTTGAGAAGATCTAGGTAGTCTGTTAACATTTGCTTTAGTGGAAAACAGAGATCTCAGTTTCGGCGGCTTCTGTCACCTTCTATTGATTTCAGTGAAGTTTGGGAAAGACATTTCTACTTGGCCAGGCCTCTTGTATGATATGGGTTTGCTGGAGTGAAGAGGACTCTTTCAAATGCTATGAAAGTAATAATGTAATGATTCCCTGTACTTTCAAGCTATTATATTTGGAGAAGGCGTATTTATAGTCCATAGAAGACAATATCAATTGAATACCAATCTACGTGTCATCGCACCCACTGAACTATGTGAAATTATAGTTTGCAGTTGGTATAAATAATTCTCTATTACTTGTCGTCGTCATCATCATCATCATCATCATCATCATCTATTAAACTTGTATGCTCCCTGTATCCTTAGATTTGCAAGTCAGTTTCCAAAGGGGGGAGGAGGGGAGTGGAGTGGGAATTATTACTATACAGGCTTTGGTTTTGTAGTCTCACAGGTGATGGCATCTAACCAACCTTGTCTGGATTTGGAAGCTAAGCAGTGAATTCCAGGACTTCTGGTTAGGTAGAAAAGTTGAAAAGACATCTCAGAAGAAGACAATGGCTAACCCCTTTGGGATTGTTTCAGCAAAATCCACATAGATGTTTCTATGAAGTCCCACAGAGATCTTCAAAGGACCTGCTGCATCGTTTTCCAAATAAAATTGATCTACCAGTTGCTTTTTGGCCCATTGATAACACATACAGATACATATAACTAGCATTTTGGAATGGATGATATAGACTGGGAAAATGAGGAGGGTGAGAAGTTACTTCCACTCTTTTAATTCAGTTCCCTATCACTCTACAATCCTTTTTAAAAGAAATGAAGTTAGAATATAAATGTCCACAAGTGCCCCAATTCACACAACACTTACTGATCCATTTCTTCTTTGCTGTTGTCACTTTCAGATTCCGAAGACGAGGCTCCTGTGGGAAAGCAAAGATTACTTCCATGTGGCACCAGTTTATTTATTTGAGTGCAACTTAGACTGCCTCACTGATGTTTTCTATGTATCATAATTGCTTTGTGCAACTAATTTGATTTGTGGGACTGGATCCTAATATCTTTTCCAAAGGAGACACATTTCTTGTAGGGACATAATTGCTAATGCAAGAGCCATGCAGTGTAGTATTTTTGGACATGAAGGATGACCACTCAACACTCCAGTGCCTTTTTGAGATAGGACTTCTTTTTACACTTTCCAGTGAAAAACATATTTAACTACTTTTCCAGTCACAGTTGGAAAAATCTAGCAGTGAGCATTGGTTGGATTAAAATCAACCATCAGTTATGCTGTAATAGAGAACTTCACTCCTCAGCATAGTTGTTAGGTACAAGCCCCATGACATCATGTCCATCACGTTGTCATCACACAAATGCATGAGTTCTCTCACAACTCACATGAATTATATAATTGGTATGACTACATCATAATGTACATGACATCACTTTTTCCATGGACCTCCTGATGTTCAGGCTCCTAAGAAAAATATTTTAAAACTTGTTTGGGATCAGATAAAATACTTGTAGGTTGTTGTTAAAAAGAGTTTAAAAAAGATCAGGCAATATCCTCAAAACTGGAGGTCTTTCCATGATTCATTAGGTAAATGCTTTTTTTCCCCTATTAATCTTATATAGATAAATGCATATGTATCTATCTATATCTATATCTATATCTGTATCTGTATCTGTATCTGTATCTGTATCTGTATCTGTATCTGTATCTGTATCTGTATCTGTATCTGTATCTATATCTATCTATCATTTGTTTCAGGCATGGATGAAAAGCATGATGCCATAAAGACATTGTAGTCTAGTGGGTTATTACAGAAGTGATGGCAGCTAGTATTAGCTTCTTTCAAATCCTGCCTGAAACACTGCAAAGAAATCTGCAAAGCCTGTTGAAAGTATGCGCGTGTGTATATGTGTATGCGTATGTGTGTGTGTACATATGTGTATGCACACATATATACTCTGTGTGTGTGTGTTTGTATGTGTGTGTGTGTGTGTATACACACACACACACATATAAAAATCACCAGATACTGAAACATGTTGCCTGCTCCACATTCTGCCCATTAATAAGCCAAGTCTGAATTCTGGTTTTCTTTCCTTTTTCTTTTTGCAAAGTTCACAATATTAGTCTTATTACAGTCCCTTACAGAAAGATCTTAAGGGCTGAAGGACCTGCTTCAGCTCTGTTGGTGGCTGTGATACATTTGCTGCTTCATTTGCATACTGAGATATAGCCATTGGCAATTGGAGGGGCAGGGGGAAGACATCTCAATTTGGTCAGAATCAAATAACAGTAGAATTAATGTTTTCTCTCTCTCTCTCTCTCTCTCTCTCTCTCTCTCTCTCTCTCTCTCT